TAGATTCTGGACAACTGATCAAGGAAAGAAAAATCTAACCACTGGAATTGCTGGATGATCTTATACTGAGGTCAGAAAAAAGACATTCCCCTTTTCTTTATAATCTTTGGGTAAAATAACTTCCCCTTAGTATCTTGTGCAAGTGTGGAGCTGAAGCTCCCCCTTCACTCACAGCCACAACACACACAAGCTGGCATGGGACAGTAAAGGTAGCTTAACTGCCCAAGCAACCTGCATCTGTATCAGTAGCATCAAAAAGGAGACTCACAGAAACTGGTTCAGGGAACCCTCATTTTACCTTTCAAAGCAAGCACCTTGAGAGCAGCAAACAGTAAAACCCATGATTCACAGCAGGTTTCCAGTCAGAGCTCCTGCTCCTTCTCCCCTCTGCTACTACCAGACCGGCTCTTTTGAAAACAAAGTTGAGCTTTGCACATAAAGCAAAGGTTGCTAGGTTTCCTTTAAGCAATGAATAATAGCATTTTTTCTGCACAATTACTGTGAGCCCTGAGAACAGCATTAATTTTCACAGAATTTGAAAAGTAAATCTGTTAATAAGCTTAAGAATTAATATCAATTAAACACAAGTTCTTTCAGAAATTTAGGAAAACCCACAAGACATTTTTTCCTTTTGATTTTGTTAGAATACTACTAGCTGTTCAAATGACGCACATCAGACTGTGGTTTTGGTCTTATGTTCACATAATTCTGTTTTAAGCAAGAATTCTTATTTTTGCTAAAATTCTTGGCAGATGCCAAAACCCAGAATAATTTCCTAAGAATGGTAGGAAGAACAGCCATCTACTCAATATACTTCCATATATCCCAGTCTCATTCCAAAACTTTTCCTCACTTAACAGCCATTCTGGGCTCCCCACCCCAAGGATGCATTTACATGTCATATGGTACAGGTTTATGTTAAAGCCATTACAGTTTAATGATAAGAGAGAGGCAGAATTTGTCAGCACAAGTGACAGTTTTTTTTCATAGAATGACAGAATCCCAGGTTGGAAGGGACATCAGGAATCATCTGGTCCAACCTTTGTGCGCAAAGCATGACTTTGCCTAGCTAGATGTTCCAGCACCCTGGCCAGATGAATCTTTAAAGTATCATTAGATGTATCAATTTTTTATTAGATTGATACATCTGAAAAAATACTGACAAGCTCTTCAGTTAAGGAGTCTCACAAGTTAAGGATGTTTTCTGGTTTTATGGCACTACTGCCCTAACTCTTACACAACGTCCCTGAAAGACAGCATGATGAAGGCTACACACTAATCCTTCAATCTAGACATCAATGTTGACATTTTGAAGCCGCCTGGTAAATTACAAACAGGTGGTGCATTACACACTGTTTGCTCAGCACTCACTGATACCTTTTAAACTAGATTTGACTGTACAGTCATCATCCGGTTTCTGAAAGGGACTTATATTTTAAAACTGCCTTTAAATTCATCAAACCACTGTGTATTAAAATCATGAGTGTGTCAAACCAACAGCTGCAGAGTAACCAAGAACACTGCAATCTGCATCACTTTATGTACAGACACATACAAGCCAGCTTCTTAGTTGGCATCACCAGCACAAGACAGCATGCGTCAGTCCCACTTCCATCCTCTCTTCTATAGCAGAGCAGCAGCAAGAGACAACTGGAGTTATAAACTCTACATAGCAGAATCAAGGGCTCTTTTTGTAGAGCATTTTAAATTAATGTGACATGCAAAGCTAGAACAGAGCCACACCAGAGTCTCCCAAGGGCCCAGGCTGCCAAAGTATGAAAATGGATTGGCTGATTTATGCATCTGGTAACTCCTCCTCTGAGGGTTCAGCAGCAACTTCTAACAGTGGTTTAACATTTCAGACATGAAAATATCACTTAGGTGCAAGTGACATTTCCCCCCTTCTTAGAATCTGTTTTTAATGTGATTGTGTCCCTCTAAATCTGAATTAGACCCTCAGATTGGCAACAGAAACATTGCTGGAGTCTGAAGAGATCAAAGTGCTGAATGTAGCTTAGTCCTCCATTTATGCAGAAAAATGGCCTTTACACAATAGCTACTCACAGCTTCTTCCTTCTATCTAACCTGAACATCCCCTGTTTAAGTTTAAACCCATCACCCCTTTTCCTATCACTACAGTCCCTAACAAAGAGTCCCCCTCCGACATCTTTGTAGGCCCCCTTCAGATACTGGAAGCCTGCTATGAGGTCTCCACACAGCCTTCTCTTCTCCAGGCTGAACAGGCCAAACTTTCTCATCCTGTCTTCATACAGGAGGTGCTCCTGCCCCTGATCATCCTTGTGGCCTCCTTTAGACTTGCTCCAACAGCTCTATGTCCTTCTTAATAGCTGTACACAAGAGCTGATTATTATTACTGCTACTAATTATAATCCTTGAGCTCTGGAAGTCTCTTGGGTAAAATAACTCTGTACGACTAAGCAAATCTCTCAAATACTTCCAAATCTCCACCTGAACTTAACAATCTAGATGGTGAAGGCAGGGCAGAGAAGAGGGAGGCAATGGAAAAATAATTTCCTCTTCACTGGAAACTGAACCTATTCTGAAAGGAAAAAATGTGTGAAACCATTGTACCTTGGCAGTAGGGATCTGTTCTGTGACACAACTCCTGCAAACAGTTTTGCCTTTTTGTTCAAAATAATGCAACTTTCATTAAATGTTTTGTTCCGAGACCTTTAATTCATCTCCTTATCAGTTATATTTGTAGTAAGGAGACAAACCATACTCTTTAATGAGTGCCAGTTTCTTTCTATGAATATTCTTCTGAGTCTGGATGTTAGGTCTTTCCTGAGGTTCAGAAAGATTTGAATACAGGCTTCGTCCTCCCAGTGAGTGGAAACATTAAGTGATTTTATCCATATTTTCATAATATGCACGCCTTCTCCCCTCACTCTTACTTTTTTGAACAACATAAACAGCAAGAGATGGAACTTTACACAGGGATGGAACATGTGCAAGGGGAGCAGCTTCGTAAGCACACTTCCAAAACAAAGCTCAACTGATGTCTCTGCTACTTCAGGAAAGGGAACGCTATGCTTTCCACATGGAGTTTGCACAGGGCAGAGGCCTAACTCTACACCACTTCTGAATGGAAAACAATTGGGAGACTCCTGCTCTGCAAGGCTCTCTTACTATCTTTGAAACCATACTGAGATGAACTCAGATGTAGGACTGGATTACATGAGTTAGATACATACAAAATCTAAAGAGGTGTCTAAAAGCACTAATAGAAGCTGCTCATTTGGAAGGGCTAGAACACCTTCAGCCACAGTTAGGATACACTTTGCTGGCTTGCTGTTATCCCAGTGTAAGACCTGGAGACTTCTGTAGTTAATGGATTGCTTCTCACCGGCTTGAAAAAACAAACCTGGCCTTAATGTAGCATTTGTCTCCGGAACCCACATATCCTCAGCTGTTCATTAAGCACTACATCGAGAAAACCTTTAAACCTATTTTGTTTCAAAGCTAAAATTTAATAGGTAATTCCTACTTTGTGTGTGTGTGAAAGAAATGACCAATGATCACTTACTGTACAATTAAGACAAAGGCATTTCATATCAGAACAAACTTAACTCAGAAAAAATATTTTAGGTATAAAGTACAGAATGCCAGAATGACACAGATGTGGAAAAATGGACTTTCAACAGGGCCAGAATTCTGTCATATTTAAAAGAATGTAATTGTCTTCAAATCTTCATAATAATTGGTCCCTATTCCCTCCTCAACGGTAACATTATTTAACAACTCAAATCCATAATTAAGCTCACCATCCCAGTGGAATTTTGAAAAGAGGCTTAATTTCCTACAAGAGAAATGGAAACACTGCAGTCTGCCTGGCAGCGGAGCAAAACAGTGACTCAGCAATGGGCAGCTGAAAGCAGATTGGTTTTAATCTCTTAATCCCTAATAAATGCATATGTTGAAGGGCAGCCCATGTGACCCTGGTAATGTTTACAGTGCACAACATGTATCTTCAGATTTTGCCTTTTATGATAAAAAAACCAAACTTCAGCTGTTTTATAAACAGCATGTCAAAGTACAGTATAAAAAGCTTAGACCCAATTTTTGGAAATTTATATTCAGATATGGATAGGCTTTTGTATATGTCAAATGTAAATGAAATACCAAACTATCATCAGACTGCTGATTCTAATATTTGCTTTCTTTATGCAAGCCACAATACCAACAGGTTTTGCCTTCTTTACGTATTACAAACAATGTGGGTACAGACCCCCCTGATCCTTATTAACAATCCATATTCTGAATGGCTGTTGATAGCTTTTGTTGAGAACTCATCAGCATATACTCCAGAAAGTACATACAGTGGGAGCACCTGATATATTTTGCTAGCAGTAGGAAAAAAAAAAAAATAGCTGGTTTTAGTTAGTGAAACCCATTTCAAACTGTGATAAAAATCACGAAATATGAAAACCAGTATTCTATGAGACTGTTGCATTTTTTGTCTCATTTACTCTTCTTTGTATCTCTCCTTAACAATTCTTTCACAACCAAGAAAGAGGAATAGCCATACATTTCACTGTAATTCTTTCAGTTTTAGACTATTGGCATTTGGACTTTCAATTGTCTTTTGGTTTTCACATAAACATATAACATGCGTAAGCTGGTTTCCAACAGTAATAATACGCATTGTTCAATACCGGTGTTATAAGGCTTAGAATTTGTGCATTTTATTAAAGAGGATTCTGTAAAAAAAAGAGACTAAAATTACATGAAAACTACTTCAAAATTTTGACAATTGAAATGATACTCAAGTTCTACCTCCAAAAGTCCCTCATTATTTCATGCACACATCCATCACTTCAGCACAGCATCTAGGCCATAAAACCTATTATATAAATTATACCAGGTAATCTAGATCTGAACAGTGCCTCTTCGAACTCTAATAGAAATGACTGAGAGAAAACAACGTAACTTTATAACTTGTCCCATAAACAGGGTCAGTATTTAAAAAAGGCTCTTACCTTGAGAAACAAGGCTCCCTTGGAAGCCAAGGAGTCTGTCCCTCTTCCATTGGGGTAACAGTGATAGGCAGCATCCATAACAGGATAGCGGCTGGCAAAAAGTAGACCACTGTTCACAAACTTAAAGCTACAGCAGCTGTGGCAACTGTAGACCCCAACATCATAGACAATGTATTCAAAATAGTGATGAAGCTGCTCTTTCAATTTCTCTGCAGCTCTTTTGTCAAACACTTCCTGCAAACACAGAAAGTCCAAGTTGGCAGGGAAGAAAGCAGAGATCTCATGATCAAAGGTCTCATCTGTATGTTTCTTTTTCCGCACTGAAGTCTTCTTCATGATTGAAGCTTTGTAGAGGAGCTTGTTGTTAACAGTGCTTTGGTCCACTGTACCATCCCCAACACGAACTTTAACTAAGGACTCTCGCGAGGCAGAGCAGCTGTCTAAACTGCCAGAATCTCCTTCCTTCTGTTTGTGGTTAGGTGTTTCTGAGATCTCTGCATCACCTTCCAGCAAGGGCTCTGCTGGGCCGCTGGCATGAGCCTGGCCATTGACAGCATCTGTGTCTGTATCTGACATGTGGCCATTATCCTCTCCATTTATGCGGACAATGCAAGACTTTTCTTCTCCCTCATTTGGCTCTCTGGTTCTGTCCTTATCTTCTCTACTATCCTCACCATTGTTTGAGCCAGAATTATCTCCTTTATACTCCATTGATGTTGTCCTTTTCATGCCAGGATTAAACGTATGATTAGTGCTATCTCCACCCTGGGGGGACACCAAGCTGCTAAAACTTGCTGCACTGATGGAGGTGTTGGTAGGAGAATCTATGTATATTTTGATCTGTGGTCTGCTTGCCCCATTTCGGATCCTCCGGCCAATCTCTTTAGCCCTAGCCTGTGTATTGAAAACATTATTAAATCTTGCCAGAGAATCTGGCAGCAGGCAAACATTAGCACTGCCAAAGCAGAAGCTCTTCCCGCTCCCCGCAGCCTTCCATTCAGTAAGCAGTGTGGCTCCATTGGCATGGTTCCTGTCTTCTAGTCTGGAGTAGATATACGGCCTTCTGACTGACTGGAGTGGGGACCATAACATAAAGCCAATCAGAGCAAAAGGAAGAGAGGCTACTAACAGTGCCAAGTAGATGGGAGTGGTAATAATGATGCAGAGGGCATGAAAATAGCATGGATCATCCGCTCTTTGACGTTTTTCATAGGTGGTTGGAACAAAAGAGGCCACAAGTCTATCTGCTAACCAGTAACATGGGAAAATTAGGCCCCAGGAAAAAGAATGCAGAACTGACAGAAAGCTGTTGGGAAATGGGGAAGTGTATAAAACCATTGCAACTTAATTATGACAACACTTCAGGGCCTACTACATGATGTCACTAGGTCAAGCATCCGTAAGAACACTGGGAGAGGTTTTGGGGAAAAAGGTCCAGTCAGGAGTTGTTTTTTTTTTTCCAGTGGGAGTCAGTAGCAAAACTTTAAGAGCACCATTTCACTGTGTTGAAGTAAAAATGAAACAAGGCCACTGTTTCCATCCAGCTTTTTGGCATCTAGGTTTGTCAGAGGATGTCATTGTTCACTGGAAGCTGCCATAATGGAACACTCTGGAGGCAAAAAGGAAATCTGTAAGAACAAGAGAGACAAAACGTACGTAACAGTTACTGAAATTTTAAAGATTTCTTCTTATCATTCTTGCCTTATAGTCTAAAATATTGCTCTATTTTTGGTTTGATTTGGTGGTTTTGATTGGAGTAGGGATCTAGGGCAAGTCCAACCACAGAGGACTGGTATTTCTGCAAATGAAATCAGTACATTGACCATTAATGCCCATCACTAGTGATGTCACAAAACACATTTCTATTATGAATTTTAGGCCTTTCATCAAGAAATATAATTTGGAGTTTATTTTATAATCCATTTCCACTAATATTTCTGTTTATTTATATTAGCTGTTTTCAGAACCTTTGCAAAGGGTGGTTAGGAGTTATCTCTAGGCTGCTCTAGAAAACTGTTATATCTTGTATTCTATCACTGAAGTTAATTTGCTTGAATTGCCAGAAGGCACCTTGTATTTAAGAGCAAAACCCATTTGTTTGCTATAAAATATAATTTGTGTTGCTGCACTTTTAAACAAAACTGGCTGATCTAAATCACTTTAAATACTCTTCATATGATTAAATATGGTTTCAAATTTTTATTTTTCAGTTTACTGAAAACAGTAAGTCAAACTACTTCTCATTAATATTTAAATATTTGATACTCGTTACCTATTTCAAGCTGCAGTCCAATTTCATTCAGCTACAGCCCACAAAAACTCCTGATATGATCATAGAATCATAGAATGGTTTGAGTTGGAAAGGACCTTAAGATCATCTGGTTCCAACCTTTCTGCCATGGGCAGGGACACCTTACCCTATGATCTCCTATTACACATTTTTTACACACACTAAAGCAAAATATAAATTAATCATAATTAGCATTATTGGTTTTAAATTCCATTTTTCATCTTTGAAGGAAACAATATTAATTGAATATATCAAATCAGAAAAACAGTTTCGTATCTTCCCTATGAAGACATATGATGTCTTTCAAAAGTTGTTTTAACAGTTGGGAAATCATGACCTGACGTATTTAGAAATTGCCATGATTAACCATTCACCAAGTAAGTAAAAGTACACCGGACCATGCTTCAAAACCTATCTTTAGTTTTGACATCTTGGAGAGATTAAATTTACATATGCATGTATTTATTAGCACAAGTTCAATTAAAGTTTGGGGCCCTCAAGAAGACAAACTTAAAGTACATATCAAACTACTATTCCCTTAAAACATTCTGCAGGGCACTCAGAGACAGAAGGGCATTTCTGTTTCTATCTAACAGTAAATAAAACAGTGACATGAGGCATAGGAGAGAAATACTGTTTTACAGAGAAATGCACCTGAGAATCAGAAGAAAAATGGAATTTTTCAGTTTTCTCTCACCTTTAAGACTTCTGCTTCTTCCAACAGCACTTGCAACTGATTAATGTTCCTACTGTCAGCATATTTCTAGATGTGGTACACATGCAATACCAGACTGTGACACATTGAATACTGTAAAAGTCAGAAGCAGTAAGGAAGGCATTAGAATACATCGCTTAAGCAGCTCTATTCTTACCACACCCATTTGTTGCTTATTAACAATAAGAAAATTCTCTCCTCAGTCTAGATTCCTGATCAGCGGGACTAAGAGTAGTCACAGCACACCAGATTTGCAGCCATCTATTTTTGGTAGGCACCATGGCAAGGAAGAATTTTAATACAGGAACAAATGAGGATGAGATAGTTTTACAGATATTTCTTCCCAGAAGAGGAAAGCAACCTCTGGGCAAGCGTTAGTCTGAAAAATCTACTAAGGTGGTGACAGAGGCTCATAACAAAACCTGACTGGGGATAGGAATGAAATTCTGAAACAGAATAAGAAAAATCAGGTTGGGTGGAGACAAGATTATGCAGACCTTCAAAAGCAAAACCAAACAGTTGGTATCAAATACTAGAGAGAGGGAAAGTCAGCAAACAGATGCGTCAGAAAGGATGGCAGCTCCCCAACAGAAAGATGCTTTTAACTTGCATGAGTCCTGGGCATGTAAGGAAAGCTGCATCTCAGAGATCTGATGTAGCATCTTCCAAGACAGCAATATCATACATATACTGATATCAGGAAAAGATGGACAAAACCTGACCACCAAGCTGTGTTACTGCATCCACACGCAACGACCTTTCCAGTGTCAGGATAACACCCCTAATACTTTTAATGGGATATAAGGTCCTGTGTATTTTTGCCCTGATGTTAATATTTAGATGGAAATCAGAACGACTGGATCAAGGGAGGGTGGATTTTTTGTGGTTTTTAATTATTAGCTTAGCATAACTTTCACAACCTCACGCAACATGTTTGAGTTTAAAGAAATGAGTGACTCGTCAAGTGCCAAATAACAAATGCTTGGCATTTACTCATTGCCAAAGGCATTTGGGGATGCTGGTAATAGAGAGAAGCCTAGCAGATTTGTTTTTCTAAATGCTTTTTATGATTTTTTTAGTAAGAATGCTCAAAAGAGACTTTAGCGTCTACATATCAGATAAAAAAAATAAAAAAAACCAACAACCCAGCCAACAACTTAAAACCTGTCCAATTACGTAATTATCATTAGAAACGAAAAAATTGTAAAGAACTTATTCTGTTCTGTTGGGAGCTTAAAATGCATTATAAAAGCCCTGCCTAGTCACAAAATTGATCAACAGACCAGAACAGTTCATGGGTGCCAACAGTGCTAGGGGTGAACAGAACACTGTGGTTTGGGTAAGTGAAGCAGGAACAGACTGCAAACACTGTATTCCAGCTTTCAGTCTAACCACCACTCTGGTGAAATCTGCACTTGTAGACTGGAAGATCAATTTAACTTTTACTATTTTAAAATAACACACTAGAAAAAAATGCAGAACTATAATGGATCTGTAATAATTCATCTAATTAGGTCTTCTAGAGATAAGTATTTCTTAAGTATATGATGACAGGGTGTTACAAGTCCTAGGAAAATGTGACAGCAAGTGACAGTTTTGTAAATATAGTAGTCAATGCTTGCTCAATGATGTGACAAAGTATAGAAAGATAATCAATCCAACATAACTCATGCTGGTTCTGTTATGGACTGCAGCATCAATAATTACAAGATAAACTGCTGTCCAGCAAACAATACAATGCTCAACTAAAGTAGCTTCACAAAAGCAATTATCCAGATTACAGGAACATACTAAATTATAGGAATTTATGCTCACTGCAGATCCAACAAGCTATTGTATTAGTAAAAAAGGAAGAAAAATGAATGCAATCAGCAATCCTTTCACAAGATAAGATACCACAACCAGTGTCATAAAGCAAATTGGTTCAAACTGGGGTCTGTTTTAACAACATACAGCAAGCATGTAATTCTTTGTAAACACTGAGGGCTGAATGATGGTTCAAGGCTGTACTGGTAACTTCTATACTTCCTCTGCTTTAAATAGGGATAGTACCTTTGAAATTCAGAAATTTGCTGGACAGTTTTTGACGATGTGCCAGCTGAAGTGGGGAGTGCATTCTATCCACTTTATTCTATGAATTCTAATAGAATTGTCACAGCTAATGGACAGAACAGCAAGTTTTAATATGATAGCTGGAGAAAAGAGAGGAGGGAATCACGAGCTACATATCCTTTAAGTTTCTGCATATTACACACAGAAAACATTGGCACATCAAGGCCCTAATTAAAAACACTCTTCGTAACTATAATATTATCCTATGTTATTAATCCTGTAGATGAAGGAAACCGCACAATTTACCACAGTTCTGTTATGGACTCACCAGCATTTACAAGAACATGACCTAAGCTCCCTACTGTAGTCTCTTAGCTACATCCCATATGCATGCTAGTGCCTCAAAGCCACCCAAAAAGAGAGAACTAAGAGAGTCACGAGACACGTTTTATCTCAGCAAGATCTTAAAGAGTGAGGAAAGGCACCACGTGAGTCAACTGCAACTTGGAAAACACGACGTCAGTAATGTCTACTCTAATGCAATGGTTTAGATGGAGGCTAAAGCTAAAGTGCCTACTTCCTTGTGATGAAGGGTTTTACTTGGTAATCCAATGTTTTATTCATAGGGTTTTGAGAGATTAAGGGAGAATTTAAGATATTGCAATGAAACAGATATTTTTGTATGCTACAAGCACATAAACTGCAGTTGGGTTTAGTTGGTTTTATTATTTTGGAATCACAGAATCATAGAATATTTGGGGTTGGAAAGGACCTTAAGATCATCTAGTTCCAACCCCCCTGCCATGGGCAGGGACACCTCACACTAAACCACGCCACCCAAGGCTTTGTCTAACCTGGCCTTAAACACTGTCAGGGATGGAGTATTCACAACTTCCCTGGGCAACCTGTTCCAGTGCCTCACCACCCTGACAGTAAAGAACTTCTTCCTTATACCCAGTCTAAACTTCCCCTGTTTAAATTTTAACCCCTTGTCCTATCACTACAGTCCCTAGTGAAGAGTACCTCTCCAGCATCCTTGTAGGCCCCCATCAAATACTGGAAGGCTGCTATGAGGTCTCCACGCAGCCTTCTCTTCTCCAGGCTGAACAACCCCAACTTTCTCAGCCTGTCTTCATATGGGAGGTGCTCCAGTCCCCTGATCATCCTCACAGCCCTCCTCTGGACTTGTTTCAACAGTTCCATGTCCTTTTTATTTTGAGGACACCAGAACTGCACACAATACCCCAAGTGAGGTCTCACAAGAGCAGAGTACAGGGGCAGGATCACCTCCTTCGACCTGCTGGTCATGCTTCTTTTGATGCAGCCCAGGATAGAGTTGGCTTTCTGGGCTGCAAGCGCACACTGCCAGCTCATGTTAACTTTCTCATTAACCAACATATCCAAGTCCTTCTCTGCAGGGCTGCTCTGAGTCTCTTCTTTGCCCAACCTGTAGCTGTGCCTGGGATTGCTCCCACCCAGGTGTAGGACCTTGCACTTGGCATGGTTAAATTTCATAAGGTTGACATCAGCCCACCTCACAAACATGTAAAGGTCCCTGTGGATGGCATTCC